AATAACAATAATAATAATAATAACAATAATAGTAATAATAATAATAATGGCAGTGATAATAACAACGATAGTGACAGCAATATTAGTAACGCATACTGGTTAAATCCAAAAGCTGCAAAAAACAAAAACAGAACCATTTGATGTATGGTCCGGGAAGGCCTCCAAAAGCGTTAAAACATAAGCATGTATCTTCCACTAGCACCGGTTTCTGAAGTCGTTCTGCTGCAGCCATGCATTTGTTCCGAGCAATTTCATCCGGTTCTCCCTGGTACTCCGGCAAATCAATGCTTTCATTCTCAACCTAAAAAAAGAACTATGGGATAAATTGGTCCAGCAAGTGATAAACATCCGAATCTTTCAGCCGGATGAACGGCTGGCGGAGAAAGTGACAAAGAGAAAGCTTGGAATTCTTCTTGGTGACCGCATATAGATACGTACATGGCCCGAAAAAAATAACTGTACTCTTAAAATTACTTTGCACTTTGACCTCAAGTTACAGCCATTCAATATTTCCCACGGTTCGAACTGGTCGTTTATTTCAGAAATTACGACAAAGGCCGAAAATTATCTATCAATTTAACCCACTTCGGCCGTCCCACTGGCACCGTTCGCTTATTATTCAGCTTTGTAACGGCCGCTACTTACCAATACACAAACTCCAGGCACTGCGTAGTCAAAAACCAGCTTTCGAGCACACAATGTCAGACGAGCCTTGCGTATCATCATGACCCCATGAGAAAGTAAACGACCATTCGGACGGGAGTCAAAGAGGTTTCAAATGTAATAAAAAGTGCAAAGTGGAATAAGATGAGGCAGTTGCGCCCGGGCAGATGGATTTTTTCCGCTGAGAACTCGTCAATCTTTCTGATGTAGCTAGAGTCCGGTGCCATTCATGAAACTGTTTATTTCACATGATATTTTAAAATTTACATGAAACAGCCAGGAGTAACTTCCTGGAAGAGGACAAACTTATTTTACATAGCTCAGAGCAACTTATTTCCTTGTACATAACAAATGCAACATATACATGCTTAGAAGGGGAGACAATTTTTGAGAAAATAATGGCTCTGTTTTACAGATGAGTAAGAAATACATGGCACTTTTGAATACACGTAATTTACGTACAATGGCAAGAAAGAACACAACACGTAGTTGAGAAAAAGAATATAAATTTGCGAAAAATGAGGGAAGAAGTTAAGGTGGCTAACGAGTGAGGGAAAACAAACTTGGCACTGCTGCAACTGGTCATCCGAAGTGAATTCAAGCTAAAAGAATGGGCTTCAATAGTAGGGGTTCCTCTTCATCATGTGTCTACGAGCTGCGGCACGTGGAATTCGCTGGAACTGAAAACGAGCGAGCATTGCCGCCACTGCTGCAGCATCTCTACCACAACGACAAATACCTTCAGATGGGCTTCTATCAGTGGAAGCACTCCAGCGGCTTTTTTCTGGGTTCATCAGCTCGCCGAACCTTCTCCTCGCAGTTCTAGTAAATCCCGATCCCCGCGTCTTGTGGCTCGGCGATGACAGTATACCCGGTGGCTTACCGATCGGCTTCCACACAGGAATCTCACCTTGTTCTGGTTCATTATCAAAAATCGAGAATTTCTCAGTGTTTCGTGTAGAAACCGTTCCTCCACTGCTGTTGTACTTCCTCCGACTCGCATCATGCAGCGTGACCGAAAGCACCGGGGGTGACTTTGCGCGGTATGGTTTCCATGATGGTACAGCACAATGCACTGATGGTTTGTCAACAGTACCGTCGAGAGGATTCAAAGCTGACAAACGTGAAGAAGCATCATCGGCTGACGAATCCTTCCTGTAGAACTTTTCAGCGAAAGAGCCGTAGCGTGCCAGTGCAAGATCCTTGACCAGTTCTGGAACAGTAACCAGAAGGCCGGAACACATCGATGCATCGATTAGGAAATTCTCGCTGCTCACGCTCCGATCCACGTCCGTCATGCACTTCGCCATCCTCTATCTGCAGGGATTTGCAGAATTTCAACAAATAAGAAAACCACGATGGAACAGTTAAATCCACTTTTATTCGGTAATTACTGGAACCCAGTTCGGCCTGGCTGGGGATGAGTTGTGATGACTGTGGCATCTCCTCTGGGACGAGTGGAAGGAAGGCTGCTGATGATGGTTTAGTTTTTGGGGGTCGTAATCGAGAGGAGGGAACGTGAAGGAGAGCTGATGCCTTTGACCGGAGATAGGAATTGAAGACGGGAGCGGTATTATGAGGGGAGGGAATTACACGGGTTCTGCGACACATAAACTCTGATGCTGAGTTAAGCCTTGTAAGTTTGTGAGCGACACTTAAAATTTCACC